CCATTGTATGTTTTGATTTATAGTGCTAATGCTGAACAAATTCTAGGTTTATTTATTAAATTGGCTGTTGACTATATATAAATCTCTGGGACTATCAAGCCCCCTTTATACTTTATGTGCTGATAATTGTTTATGGTGTTAATATCATATAATAAATATCATGAGTTTGTTTCATGCATTAYATGTATGTTGTGTATATATTTGTGTATATATGTATAGTTTTATGAGTTTGTTTAAAACTATCTTTGTTTAAGGCAGATAAAAAATCTTTCTAGATATTTAATTTGAATAAATACTTATCATGGGGCCAAAAAAGAACTTATTTTTTTCAAATACTAAACCAACCATGGAATCTTGGAACTGCAACACTGTCAGCACTCATCTCTTCCTTCCTTCCTTCCCCTTTATTTTACAGATGAGACAACACCACTTATCTCAAACTCACAATCAGTTACTGGYAATGCCAAGGCTAAAATTCAGTTTTCTGGTATCTTTCTATCATAGAAACTCTTCTTATCTGAAATAAGTGACCAATAAAAACAAAATATTTAAAAACTAACATACACTTGGAATTAAAAATAGATCACATCAAAATGGATCAGTCAGTCAGTTCTATAATTCAGATATAGTAGTAAAATTTTTGTTACCATTACATTAGCAGGCATGCAAAGTTTCTAACAAATCATTTTCTCTACAAGCAGTACCACTAAATTTATCTTAACAAAGGTTAACCTGTGGCAGTATTGAGAACAAATAGAAGGACATTCTCTTCACCATGAGATATTTCCTCTTCCTCTTTCCTGGCTACTTATCTTAGTTTATAACCTCTAACCACTTGATCACAAGGACCATCCTGGAGAGTCAAGGCCCTAGTTCCTGGAAGCTCATAGTGCAGARAACTATTAAGAACAATGTATCCTATGTGGGCTTATTTCCCAAGCTGAAATATAATTAACGCTATTAATGATGACAATAAGCATCGCTGGAGTTATTGTCACACACTCAGTGTTCTGCTTCTAATTCTGAAAGTTTCTCCAGAGAATAGGCTGGTCTGATTTATCTGCATCATCCCAGCAGGCAGCTGCAGCCACACACCAATAGGTGGTACTGCTCAAGATTAGTAGAAGGAATGTTTGGACACTTCAGACTTCCAAGGGGCAGAAAAACAGCCCGCCTGAAAAACAATTTGTTCTGGATTCACTTTGAAAGCAAGGCAGTTTTTCACTCCTCTACTGAGCTCCGGTTTTCTTTCCCACTCAAGGCCACGGAAAACAATCAGTGAAGACTGAGCGTCAATCAGGCTCCGGAATGGCTGCTATTCACTTGGAAACCTCATAGTTTTCCTTGCTTTGTTTCCCCTCCTGACCTCTGTCAAGTCCCCAGGCCCAGTAAAGTCCTGAGCCCAGCGACAGCGTCAGGGGAACCGAAAAACCGCGGAACCAGAGGCAAAAGGAGCGGTGGGGGCGGCGGGAGCCGGAGTGGAGGGACCGGCAGGCCTAGCTCCCAGGCTGCGGCGGCGCAGGCGGCGGCTGGGGGAATGGAGCCCTTGCGGGTCCTTGAGCTGTACAGCGGCATTGGTGGCATGCACCACGCACTGAGAGGTGAGAAAGGCCGAATGCTTTCTGGAAAGAATCTAGGGCGCTTGTTGGTGCCTCAGCGCCGAGGCGGGGAGCCGCCGCGGCTAGGCGCTAGGGGCGGAGACGGAGTTGAGGCGGCCCTGGTTGCCCAGGAAACCGCCGGGTGCGACGCCCCCGTCCGCCCCTCCAGGCGCAGATTCCCTTCTCTAGGGCCCCACGTTGGTCGCTAGGGCGGGCCCTGAGCCTCCAGGGACCCAAGTTTGTGAGGTCGCTTTCGCTAGGCTGTTAAGTCGAATTAAAATGGAGCCGACCAAGGTCGGGGGAGGGGCGAGCCCTTTCCCTGTTGTTAGCCTCACTTCTACACGTGCTGTCGCCGGGAACCCTGGAACCTTGGTCTTGTATCTTGGGGGAAGTCCGAGTGGGAGGGGCGGGGTCGAGCAGGATGCTAGCTAGGATTCAAGGTAGAAGTTGGCGCATACTAACTAGGACTGTGGGGAAACCCAGAGGGGAAACCTGGTGAGTCTGTGGAATCTTCTCCAGCCCTATATTTAGATGCAAGAGATCTGAGTTCAAAGTAGAGTTCAAATTTTCTTAATGYTTTGGAACCCATTTCTTGGTTTTTAAAAGTGTGAAACTGTTCTTTCAGGGAGAATTGTGAGGATTAAAAATAAAATGTGTCAAGTGCTAATTAGCATAGGGTACATTGTAGCCTCTCAAAATATTGTCATTCTACTCACCTCTTTCTTTTTGAGTCGTTTAATTTCTTTGGTGCTACATTTACTTTTGGTAATATTCACTTAAAATTGAGTGACTGCCTATTTTGTACTAAGTACTGTACAGGTAGACACTTGGGATATGGAGTGACAAACTTCGAACCTGCATGTTTATTTGTTTATTTTTTACGGTGCTGGGAATTGAACCCAAGGCCTCTTGCAATGCATGTTTATTCTTACATGACTAAGACAACCACAAAACTGAAGCTTCTCTSCTTCCCTTTGCAGTATCAAGGGTAATGAGACGCTTTAACTGGCAATGTTTAATGGGTGGAGTATATAGATTTTCTGAGGAGATGTTGAGTTTTAGTACTTTATTTTTATTTATTTATTTATTTATTTTTTGTGGTGCTGAGGATGGAACCCAGTGCCTCACACATGCTAGGCTGGCTGTTAAGCGTTCTACTACTGAAACAAAACCTCGCCCCAGATATGAGTTTTGAGTCTAGACTCACCCCAGACTTTCTCACTCCATCTTCTTTTCATCTGCCATATCTGAATTAATCCGTGGCCTCTCAGAGAGGCCTACTCTGTGACCCTGTGATTCAAAGTCGTCTTCCTGACCTCCCTACCTCTCTGCTCTCCAGGACTTTGGTTTGAGGTTTACTATGAGGGATATCTACTCAATCCTATTGATGCAAATGTTTTCCCAGCATTTGTTTGTCTTCCAATGTTCACTTATTTAATGTACCAAAGTTTTAAATTTATCTGTAATAAAATACATTGCTCCCTTCCAAGTGGTTTATAAATAATAATGAAAACTATAGCAATGGCAGCTAACTTTAACTTTTATTAATGACTTCTAAATGTCACAACTTGGTGTAAGTATGTAATAATGCTAGGTAGTGGTAAAACCAGTATTCTAACCTATGTCTGTCAGACCTTTATACCATGCTATGTTGCCATTGTTCTGGTTTGATCCACTTTCTTTGTTCTATACTTTGAATAATAGTAATAAGCAGCAAAATGGGAATAATATTGAGCAACAGTTTGGGCTGATTTGTAGGTAATGTTTATAATAGATTTTTTTTATTGTGGTAAAGTATATATAATGCAAAATATATTATTATAAATATTTTAAAATGTACAATTAAGTTGTATTAAGTGACTCGAAATGTTGTGCAACAATTACCAATATCAGTTTCCAAAACTTTTTCATGGTCCCAAACAGAAGCTAAATGTTATTCCATTGTAGGTATATACAATTTTGTTTATCCATTCATTCAGATTGATGGACACTTGAGTTGTTTCAACCTGTTAACTCTGTGAATAATGCTGCTTGGAATATTGGTGTATAAGTATCCTTTTGAATCCTTTGACTCTCAGTTCTTTTGGGTTACAACCTAGGAATGGAATTGCTAAATCATATCTTCTTTTAGTCCTTTGAGGAACCACCAGATTTTTCCACAGCAGCTGCCTAATTTTACAGTTCCAACAATAATTCATGAGGGTTCCATTTTATCCTGACACCTATTTGTTTAACATTCTTTTTAAATACTAGCCATAGTAATGCATATGCATTGATATTTCATTGTGATTTTGATTTGTATTTTTTTAATAACTAAAAATGTTAGGATTCTTTCATGTGCTTATTGGAAATTTGCATATCCTCCTTTGGGAAATATATACTAAAGTTTTTGGCCCATGTTGTATTTTTTTTCTTAGTTGTAGAAGTTCTTTATATATTTCAGATATTAATCCCTTATCAAATATGTAATTCACATTTTCTTATATTACTGACTCTTAATAGAGTATGTTTAATTTCTTTAACAACAGTGATTTTCTTCTAACACAATGAACATTTTAATAACAGTAAAAATTTCATCCTTATTAGTGTATGCAAAATGCTATTGTATTATTGTAGTCACTATATAGTGCTTCTGTATTTTCTAAATTTCATTTTACTTTATTATATATCTGCATGCCCATGTATTAACATGTCCACATCCTGTGCTATTCCTCTCTGTTCTTGTGTAGCCTGTTACACAATACTGAACTGTGACAGGTTCTCCTTATATGACTATGAAGTTTATTATTGAATAGATAATCATTCTGACATTATTTTGATAAAACTATAGTCATCATCATTATTTTATATCATACACAGTTCTTAGTAGCAAACCATAGGAGGGTTACTCTCTATTTAACATAAGCAGAAAAACATAATTAAAGGACACTGGGAAGCTCACAGAATCTACAGGACACACAGGTAACAAACAGGTTAGATCAACAGGAGCACTGCTCAAACCACACTCTGGGATTGCCCTAATAAAGCTCTATACTTACATTGCACTTTGCATCAGCAATTCTGGAGACTGGATGCCATAAGTGCCAATGAACTTTTGTCCTTAAAAGTGGATATTTCTACCATCTATTTCATCTACTTTCAAAGGGAGGTCTTACAGGATTGCAAGTATTTTTTTTGTGTACTAGATCCCTCTGCCACACAAAGCTGGGAATGTGAATTCTGTCTTCTGTTTTGAGAAGCGAGGACCCATATGGGGAAAATTTTTCAAACATAGGCAAAGATTCTAGAGTGCAACAAGCATAACACATCTATACATTCTTATATACATAATACTCATTTATAGGGATACTTAGTATGCTCTTAGGTCTTTCCTTCCTTCCTCCCTCCCTCCCTCCCTCCTTGCTTCCTTTCTTTCTTCTATAGAAGAATGAACCCAGGGGGCTTAACCACTGAACCACATCCCCAGCCCTTTTAAATATTTTATGTAGAGACAGTGTCTCACTTAGTTGCTCAGGGCTTCACTAAGTTGCCRAGGCCGACTTTGAACTTGCTATTCTCCTGCCTCAGCCTCCCAAGCTGCTGGGATTACAGGCATTAGCCACCATGCCTGGGCACTCTTAGATATTATTTATATCAGTATAATCTACGAAATTTTGGTTAATGAGTTAGGTGTGGTGGTGCATTCCTGTAATGCAGAGATTCAGGAGGCTAAGGCAGGATGATCAAAAGTTTAATGCTAGCCTCGACAACTTAGTGAAATCCTGTCTCAAAATATAAAACAAAAGGAGCTGGAGATGTAGCTCAGTGATAAGGCACTCCTGGGTTCAATCCTCAGTATGGAAAAAAAAAGTGAAAAAATCTTGGTAAATGAGAATCATTTGTTTGAAAATATCTCTTTATAGAAAACAGTGTAAGAAATGTATCACGGAGTATATATCAGTGGAGAGTGCATAGATACCTATAAATATAAGCAAATAAGGTTCTATAGTTTTCTCATTTTAAAATTAGTGGCAGGAGAAGAATAAGGTATAGTTTAAGGTGGCTAATAAAGCAAGCTCTAGCTGGACAGCTGTATAGTCAAACACTGGAGACACTCTTAAAACAAAAAAAGTTCAGCTCCCTCAAATAATTTCTGAAGATTTTCCATGGTATTGGTTTTGAGTTTTAGCCATGTAATACTTATCATCTTTAGCAAGAATTGTTCAGCCTTAATATGGTATGATAAAGTGCTAAGCCTCTCACTTGCCATTCATTAGTTGCTAAACTTTCAAATCTTTTTTCTTTGTTTCTTAATGCCTTATATACTGGAGATTCCCATCACCCATTCTGTGATTAGGTATAAGTTATTCAGGCAAGTGCATTATCATGAAGTGTTTTTCTGTGTAGATCTGTGTGTCACCTAATGATATTATTGAAACATAGTTTGTTAAGGAGTTTGAACTGCTTGATTTTAAATTATATTTGCCTTTGGGAGTGTAAATTTTTTCTTTTTATGTCTATTTTCCCATTGTTGCTGTTATATTACTTGTCAGATTTAAAGCGAAACAAAATGTAACTGGTCCATTTACAAATATTTATCATTTGTAGTTCACAAATACAATTACTCCCTCAGTGCTGACAAATAGATAACAACATTTAATTTATTTTAGGGCCTATCTAGTGTTACGTTTTTTAGGGGTCTCAATAATTAGTGCCCCTCTTCTTGGTTATGAACAAATTGAGAAATAAGACTAAGGCAAATAGGAAATGAAACTCATGTCATTTTTATTACTAATAAATGTTGAATTAGAAGATGTAGCTTGGTAACCAAATGGATCATCTAATATCGAACTAGATAGTTAAGCAGCACTAGGCACAACTGAAAGGTCCAATCAGATCCCATGTTTCCTGTGGATAGCTTATTTCCAAGAGGGAATGAGTGGAACTGAGTCAAATATGCCAAATTCTCACATTAGCCAATTAGAGAAGTCACTCCCTCCATGGAAGAGGAAGTAAAGAATGGG